TTATCTCTTCATTAAACATGAAACTCAGTCAACTGAACATTTAAAATGTATCACAAATATCATTGACTGGCTCTGATGGTTGATATGGGATGCTGCCAGCATCCTAGGTATCAACCAAGTATCTTCTTAAAATGTACGGTATATTATTATTATTATTGTTGTTGTTATTATTATTATTATTATTACATTTTTTTAAAAAAAGGACAATCACAGTAGCTTAATCCAGTCTTCTCAGGAAATATTAGATTACAATACCCATGGGGCACAGGTAGGATGGGGAGGCTGGTATCTTCTGCTCAGCCATCCAACCAAATCAGAGGCTGGAAAATAATCCTGAAATACAGGTGATCCTCAGCTTACGACCACCCTTTAAAGACAGAGAGGCTTCCTTAAACACAACAATCCTGAAGTCACTGCAAGAAGGCTGGGATACATACTATGCCCAAAACATACTTGCATCTATACGCCATTAAAATAAGGTTCTGTTGACAGATGGACACTGAGGACTAGCATTTTGGAAAGGCTGGCTCCAGGATCACTGGCTCTGCTTCCCAAGCCCTCACTTTACACACGGCTCCGTTTTAAGATTAAGGTTCTTTTAAAAAGTGTGGTTTTTGGGGGAGGCTGCGGGGGAGGGATTTGATTATTTTATTAAATTTAATTTTGTCCACAGGTTAGTTCCCTTTTAGAACCAGATCACTTCGGTTTAGCGGGCTCTTTCTTAAATGGATCTTTTGCCATTTGCAACTTCTGGTTTAAATTCAAGCACTTCCATTCATGCTTCTACCTGTCCAAATTTATTTTCCCACTCTCTCCTTTTCCGGACCTTCAAAGTATCTACAGAGACACACCTGGCCCAAATTCAACGGGGGTGAAAACCCTTGCGGAAAACTCTCCGTTAAAACATAAAGGCCGGCCAGCCAGCACGGAGAAGTATTTTTGCCTGCACATAAAAGCCGCTCTCCTAATTAAAATAATCTGCCCGGCTAGCTCGTGTTTATTCCATTAGCATATAAATAATGAGCGTGCCCTTTGAAGCTTGACCAGGCTGGAGATGACAGACAAGGGAGACTCCATGAAAACAGGTAGAAGGAAATGGGGGGTTGGGGGGGGGTTGGAAGGGCAACAGGAACCCAGAAAGAACAGCTGGATTCATAGAAACTTTCAAATCTCCTCCCCCCCCCCCACCCATTTCGAATTCATGAGTGCATTGCTGCAGGCCTCAACCATTCCACCAGGTTCATGCAGAACCTTAAGGTTTCAGGTGCCAGGGTAGGCAGAAGGAAGCTTGAGGCATGAAGAAAGGCCTCTGAGCATCGACAGAGCGCCTCCCAAGGAACCTGTGCTAATCTTTATTTTCCTAAGCACCTGAGAAGGCAGGACAAGAAGCAACGGATGGAAACTAATCAAAGAGAGAAGCAACCTAGAACTAAGGAGACATTTTCTGACAGGGAGAACAGTTAATTAACCAGTGGAACGACTTGCCTGCAGAGGCTGTGAATGCTGGAGGCATCACTGGAGGCTTTTCAGAAGAGCAAATTGTCTGGAAAGATATAAGGTCTCCTGCTTGGTCAGGTGTTGGACTAGATCAGTGGTTGCCGACCACCTGGGCAGGGACCACTGGTGGTCCACGAGAACATTTTGGTGGTCCAAAGAGAAATGTCCTCCCCCCAAAGCAATTAATCCAGGCTGTGTGGGAACACAAGGCTGTGCTACCCACATGGCCCGTGGGAACACAAGGCTTGCGTGGCTTGCACTGCGAACAACACGAGGTAGTGAGGGGAGGGGGGAAAGGCAGAGGGGGGGACTTATCCCACTCGCCTCACAGGCCTGGCCTGGCCACCGCTTCTTTCTTCTCCTGCTTTTGGCTGCGCGCAAGGAAAGCAGCCAAAGTCTTTCTTTCTCTCCCCCAAACTCCTCCAGAAATGAGTCTTTGGGACCCTGCAAGGCCTCCTGCTCCAAGAGGCTGCGCCGGCACGACAAGTCTCACACAGACTCATTTCTGGGAGAGTTTTGGGGAGAGAAAGAAAGACTTCTGCTGCTTCTGCTGCTTTCCTTGCATGAAGCTAAAAGTCTCTCTCTCTCTCTGTCTCCCTGAGAACGGAGCTGGAGACGGTATCCTGCGATCCCAAATAAAGTAGGGAAGTAAGGGAACCGTAGGGAAACCGGGTGGGGAATTTTCCTGCAGACTTTTTTCCTGTAGCCACCATCAGTCAAAATTCAAATTAGTGGTCCATGGGATTTAAAATTATGAATTTGGTGATCCCTCAGGTCCCAAAGGTTGGTGACTCCTGGATTAGAAGAGCTCCTTCTAATATTGTCATTCTGTTAAAGAACAGAAGCTATTTGCCCAGCGGTGAGGCTGCGGAGTTGCTTTGAGTGGGAAAGAGCACTTGGCCAACAACTTCCTAAAAACTTTCCAGGGTCCATCGTCCCTCCTGTCGTTTGTTTCCGTGCGTCTTTTTCTTCCATCATGGCCACAAACTGGAGAAGGAACTTCCAAGCCTCTAAGCAGGCCAAAAAAGTGTTAGATCCAAGGACACACGTCCACCTTGATGGAGAAGCTGGAAGGATTCAAAGAGGAGGAGGTGTGTGTGTGTGTGTGTGTGTGTGTGTTTCTTTGATGCTTGCCAGGACAGGGGGAAGCTGAGGTCCATCTCCTGGCCCCGGGCTGCGAGATTTAATGGCAGCCGTGCACTTGGCAGTTCTCAACAACATCACCCTAATTGCTTTCCTGGATGAGGAGGAGGTGTGTGTGTGTGTGTGTGTGTGTGTGTGTGTGTGTGTGAAATCCAAAGGCGGCTTGGCCTAAACTCTCCACTGCTAGTTGGGCTAGTTAGAACCAGTTTCCTTATCAAGATCCGTGGCCTTTGTCACCTGGAGCCCAGCCGGCTTGAAGCAGAGAGAAGGTTCCTTGCCACGGCCTTATAAAACGAAGCGCCTTCCTTACCATTCCACAAACATCCCCGGGGCCTTGAGACATAGCAAGCAAGCAAGCAAACAAGATGGGCTGCCTACTTCCGACTTACTCCTTCCTTTTGCTCATGGGGTTTCTCCTGGCTGGGCCGGGCCGGGCTCATCCGGTGACGTGGAGTCCCTCCAGCCAAGATTTGCAAGCTCTACAGGTAAGGAGGAGGACGTGTGTCTCCTGGGAAAAATTTCTCTTGGCTGGGAAGCAGCGTGAAGGTGAGGGCGTGAGAGAGAGAGAGAGAGAGAGAAAGAGAGAGAGAGAGAAAGGAGAGAGAGAGAGAGAGAGAAAGAGAGAGAGAAAGAGAGAGAGAAAGAGAGAGAAAGAGAGAGAGAAAGAGAGAGAGAGAGAGATATGGGCGGTTAAGAAACAGGAAATATAAATAAATACGTAAATGAAATGGGAGATGTTTGCTGATCAGAGATCTCCGGCTCGGTGAAAATCCAGGTGCATCAAACGAGATCTCCCAATCTTAAGGCAGAGCATCTATCAACCATGCTTTGAGTGTAAGGCAGCCTTCTGCCCTGCTCTGTTTGACAAACGTACAACCATGAGGACTAGAATCTCATTAAATTATAAGTCAGTAAAAGCTCAAGCAACAAAGCCACAGGGGTTTGGTGGTGCAGGGAAGGAGGGAGAGGGGGGGAGGGAGAGGGAGGAGAGACAGAGAAGGAGGGAGGGAGAGAGAGGGGAGAGACCAAGGGAGGAGTGGGAGGGAGAAAGGGAAGAGACAGAGAGGAAGGGAGAGAGAGGAAGGAGGGAGAAGAGGGAGGAAGGAGGGAGGGATAGACAGAGGGAGGGATAGACAGAGGAGGGAGGGAGGAGAGACAGAGAGGGAGGGAGAGGATTCTATTTTTAAGAATGTCCCCATTTTCACCCTCCACCATTTTTAGCACCTCCTCGATCGGCTGCGAGAAAAGATCCAGCAGGAGGACCTGGAGCTTCCTGACTACGAAGCCAGGGGCGCGAGCGAAGACAGCGATGATCCTGACCTGGAAGACGCCGAGATCCTCCCTTCCCACCTGCCCAAACTCACCGACCCCCTCTCTCAGGCCCAATGGAGGCAGTTCCTGGTGGCGTCGAGGAGGTACTTCTCCGGATGCTTCGGAATCCGGCTGGATCGGATCGGTACCCAGACGGGACTCGGCTGCAAGTCCTTCAAACCCCGTAGGTCCCTTTTTAAGAGTCTCGCCACGTAGGGCTGTCCCAAGCATCTCCCACCCAGGGCCAGTCTGGATTTGGAATCACATTTTTTTAAAAAAGGCACGCGAGGGAACCGCTCTGAAAAATCAAGCACACGGGGGAGCAAAGTTTCCAACAGCTGCATTGGTGTGTAATATCTACCACAAGCGGGGTAGGCACACACACCCCTCCACTTCCTGTGACGCCTTCCTGAATTAAGATTTTTCCATATCTTAAAACTGGTTTGGTCTCTCTGCATTGGGCAGTGAGTGAAGATAGAATGGAATAGTTGGAAGGGACCTTGGAGGTCTTGTAGTCCAACCCCCGCCTCCTAACGCAGGAAAACCCTACATCACTCCAGACAAAGGGTTGTCCAACATCTATGCAGACCTCGGGATCAACTTTCACTCAGGGCTGGTGGGAAAGAAAAGGGTCTAAAAAAACCCCCCTCAGCTGCTGGTGCATTCGTTCACCAATGCTGTAAAACAAATAGAAAGAAAGAAATAATTGTTAGGGAAACCACCCCAAGTTCGAAAGGTGAGAACTAAAACATCTGGGGGCATAATGGGTGCTATGTGTGATTTTTCCCCTCCCCCACCCAAAAAAAAGCAGAAGAAGGGTGACAGGATCTAGAACACGTCTACAATCCAGAAAACGACAAACAAAGAATTCGATGTTCCACAAGTCAGTTCCCAGTTTACTTAAGTCGTGGGAAGGGGACAAAGTCATTGCAGGGGAAAGTTAGCATGGCCGTGACAAATTCTGCACGAGGTTCTTGCCAGGGTAGACTTGATGTCCTTCAAGGCCTCAGCTCTACCTGTTGAATTCTGCTTTCCGAGGTGGGAGGGTTAAGCTGCTTACACAAAGGGGATGGCTTCTGATAAGTAAAAATGGGATTTGTGGATCTAAAACTCTGAATTCTCGCTCTCTTCAGGAAAGAGGAAGCCCCTTCATTCATTCCTTCATTAATTTTCTGTTTCAGGTCCCTGGAGGAGACGAAGAAGCTGAAATTCACCACCTTCCTCCAGAAGTAAATAGATGACAAGGTCCGTGGTATGACCTGTTCGACACCTGGAAAAGCACCTCCTCTTTTCTGTCCCCTGCGAACAGACCCACTCCGTTGTCTTAAACATCGTAGAGAACCCTTTAACGTTCAATATCAGTCCTTCAATTCAACGTCCGGTCTTTCAACCTTCAAGTGCCGTTGTCCCTCCAATCACGGAGACCCTTTTTAAACCCTATCACGGGGGGGACTGAATCTGATTGTCACAGGCGTCAATAAAAGGTTTTGTAGAAATGGAGACTTGGTCCTTTGTCTAACCGAGGGGAAGGGGGAAAAGAATAACCGCCCTACAAAAAGGGGAAGTGTCCAGATGTCCATTGGTGAGTTCCAACTAGGTGTGCCCGATTCGGAGGGCGCAGAAGGATGGGTTCAATTTCTCACACCTCAATGGGCTCTTCTACAAGTTTGGGTGATGCTTGCTGGTGGTAACTTGTGAGTTGCAAGTTAGGTCGGTGGGTTCAGCACCTTGGAGAGCACCCAAAAACTTAGACCCGCAAACTCCTTTGGTTTGCCTCTCTGTCCAGCTTCTTTTTCTCCTTGACCTCCAAGGCCACGTGGCCTTCCCCCCCCCCCCCAAACCCAATGTCAAAACTGGCCGTCGGTACAAATAAATGAGCCATCGCAAGGTTTTCCTTGCGTTATTTCCACCTCCTTGCTTAATGCCTCCGACAGTGGCGTTTTTGAGGTTGAGTTTACGATAGCAGAGAATTAATAGCAGTGCTATTTCCCCCTTCCATTAAGTGCTCAATGGGTCATTCTCCCGGGCACGTTTCCCGATGGCTGGTATCGATCCTTAAAAACGAAGCCCTGGGCAGCCATCAACACCCATCACGTTGAAAGGATTTCTCTACCGGATGGATTCATTTACTGAGCTGGAGTTACTTCCTTGTTTTGAATTTCCTGGGAGACAAAAGCCACCAGGGGCCAGATTCCTACCCTTGAGCTCAACACAGAAAATAAGATACCATGTAATGTCTGGGCATGTACAAATTTAATCCCTGGAACAAGAAGAAAAAATCCTCCCCCTCCCTTACGATACCTTGTAGATGTTTCAGGCATTTTATACACAGTTCACAAACACACATATGATATAAAGATAGAATAGAATAGAATGGAATGGAATGGAATGGAATGGAATGGAAGGGAAGGGAAGGGAAGGGAAGGGAAGGGAAGGGAAGGGAAGAGAAGAGAAGAGAAGAGAAGAGAAGGGAAGAGAAGAGAATAACAGAGTTGGAAGGGACCTTGAAGGTCTTCTAGTCCAACCCCCTGCTTAGGCAGGAAACCCTATAATCATTTCAGGCAAACGGCTATCCAATCTCTTCATAAAAACTTCCAGCGTTGGAGCATTCACAACTTCTAGAGGAAAGTTGTTCTACTGATCAATTGTCCTGTCGGGAAATTCCTCCTTTGTTCTAGGTTGCTTCTCCCCTTGACCAGTTGAAGACAAGATCCTCCATCTCCAGAAGGACTCTACCTGCAAAGAGGAGCGGTTTTCCTCAAGCATTTGCAAGCAGCTGGACTCCTCGGCTGCATTCTGCGTGCATCCCAACTAGCTAACCTTGCCCTGTCGTTTTTTAAGGGTTCAGCAGATCACACGATGGGTTGGTTGGTTCAGATTTTGGGGTGCTGCCTGCTTCATGTCCACAACTTATTTTGGAGTAACCACCTTAAAAGCCTGACAACTATCCAAAATCAAAACTTTTGCAAAGAAAAAAAAAAGCCCCCGTATTTGGGTGGGTGGGTGGTAAGGAGGGCAGAAAACGCTCTCTGCAGGCCATATATGGTAGCGATCAATGATGTTGGGACACTAAAATGTCCACCTTTGTTTTTTGTGCCTTTCCTATACAAGGCGGTTTCTCCGGGATGTGTTTTACCCCGCTTGGGAAAAATGAAACACTTGTCTTCCCACAAAGGCCATCGATCTGGAAAGAAAAGAGGTGGGGGGGAGAAAATGTGAAGAATGTCCCGCCAGGAATGGTGTGTAATCTCCTCTCGTGGTATCAACGTGAAAATCCCGGCAACATGAAATCATTGACTTGTGACTTGCATGCCTCTGAAAACAGCCGCTGCCCCCGTGACACCTAAATGAAGGGAATCGTCTCTTTTGGGAAACGCAGCGTGCCGGTCGCAGCGCTTGGAATGCGCTCCAGATAACCCGGGAAAGCAGAGCCCGCTTCGGAAGGGTATATAAGAACTCACTGGGTGGGAAAGGCAAACAGAAGAGAGAGAGAGAGAGAGAGAGAGAGAGAAAGCCAAGGAGAATCCCACCCTCTGAAAACAGCCGACTCTTGATCTCCCAGGATGGATGCTAAGGGTTCATTCCTCACCGTGGTCTGCTTGGTGCTTCTTCTCTGCTTCCAGTGTCCGGCGGCTCACCCCATCCGTAGCCTCAGCCCGGCCGAGGAGCTGGCGAACATGGAGGTAAGAAGACGCTCCTTGGGGATCCGTCTGGACTTGGGACTCGGCAGTTCATTTGGCCCTGGAAATTTGGTCTGAAAGCAGAGGGGTTCGGCTAGAAGACCTCTAAGGTCCCTTCCAATGCTTTGGTTCTTCTGTCTCCTAGGAGAGAATTCTTTCATGAATTCTATTACTTGTGGGGAAACCCAGGTTCAGGAGCAGTCTACCCCAGATTTCATACCCAGGTCGCAGATTGGCTGACTCCATTAGAAGCAGGGAGCTGATGTGCGAAGGCGTTGCACCTTTTGGCAGAAAAAGAGGCTTAGCTAAAGAGATCGGACAAGCCTCTATCTGAAATGGAATAATAGGGTCTCCAGCTTGAACCAGGGGGTTGGACTAGAAGACCTCCAAGGTCCCTTCTGACTTAGTTAAACTAAGGAAGTGATGTTGCTCTCAATGGCTCCAAAAGCAGGACTAGCACCAATGGAAAAGAAAGGAAGTTTTGAAAAACATTGGGAGAAACTCCTGAAAAAAAAACCCCACATTCTCCTTCCTTCAAATTATTTTAAGGCAGAGTGGGAGCATCCACAGTTAAGGATACCAAACAGAGAAAAAGAGGGGTTTTTTTTCTTTTTATTCTTATAAACAGGGGCAATCCACAATTGGGGTCAGTCAAACATGCCCCAAGGAGTTCCAGCTTCCTGTCTATTTTTCTCTACTTTGCTTCCAAGTGACAAATTCTTGACTCTCCTGAGCAATTTTGACTATTAGAATAGAATACAATAGAGCTGGAAGGGTCTTTGGAGGTCTTCTAGTCCATCCCCCTGCTCAATCAGGAGACCCTACACCATTTCAGACAAGTGACTGTCCAGTCTCTTCTTAAAAACCTGCAAGGTTGAAGCACCCACAACTTCTGGTGGCAAGCAGTTCCACTGGTTAATTGTCCTCACTGTTAGGAAGTTTCTGCTCAATTCTAGGTTGCTTCTCTCTTAGTTTCCATCCGTTGTTTCTCAGATAGATAGATAGATGATAGATAGATAGATAGATAGATAGATAGATAGATAGATAGATAGATAGATGGAAGATAGATGATAAATAGATGATAGATAGATAGATAGATAGATAGATAGATAGATAGATAGATAGATAGATAATGATGATAGATAGATAGATGATAGATAGATGAAAGAAAGAAAGAAAGAAAGAGAAAGAAAGAAAGAAAGAAAGAAAGAAAGAAAGAAAGAAAGAAAGAAAGAAAGAATTCTTTATTGTCCAAGTGTGATTGGACACACAAGGAATTTGTCTTGATGCAAATGTTCTCAGTGTACATAAAAGAAAAGATACATTCATCAAGAGTCAAGACTTGGCCAATAAAGAATTCTATAAAGAATTCTATCTATCTTGCCTTCTGGTGCTTTGTAGAATAATTTGCTCCCCTCTTCTCTGGGGCAGCCCCTCAAATATTGGAAGGCTGCTATCATGTCACCCCTAGTCCCTCCTTTCTCTAGACTAGCCAAACCCAAATCTTGCAACTATTCTTCATGCGTTTTAGTCTCCAGGCCTTTAATCGTTTTAGTTTTTCTTCTCTGGACTTTTTCTAAAGTCTTTTTTTGTAACGGGGGTGACCAAATCTGGATGCAGTATTGCAGCTGTGGGCTTACCAAGCCTTTATAAAAGCAGCCCGAGCAGCCATCTCTTGCTCAACTGAAATTACATTTAGCAGGATAGAAAAAAATGTGGACACTTGCTGTCCAGTGAGAATTCAATTTGAGGCTCATTATCTACGACAGAGGCCTCCAAACTTGGCAACTTTAAGACTTGTGGACTTCAACTCCCATTATTCTCCAGCCACTGGGAGTTGAAGTCTAACAAGTCTTAAAGTTGCTGAGTTTGGGGACCTCTGATCTACGAAGACGACGGATGGGGTTGGGGTTTTTTTTGGCCATAGACCTGACTGCCGTATTCTGCAACTGGCACGAACCTTCTCCATTTCCATTCTAGTTACTCCTGGACAGGTTGGAGGAGAAAGTGGCCTTGTTGGAAGATTTACAGGCCAACCCTGACGACTTCGAAAGCCAGGGAGAGCCCCAGGCTGAAGAGAATCTCAGCGACAGTCCTCTGGCCGATGATTTCCCCGCCTTCTCTGACCGAACGGCTCTGCTGAAACATATGAGGGGGATCCAGGCAGCCAAAAGCATGCGAGAATCGGGCTGCTTCGGCCGACGGTTGGACCGGATTGGATCCGTCAGTGGGATGGGATGCAAAGGTGAGTTGATCCTAGTTTCTTGATCCACAATTTAAGCCTCTTCAAAGGAATCCCCCTCAAGGTCTGACAAAAGAAATGGCTGTTCCACTGCCCCCACCCCAGATTATAATAAAAAAGCTCACCGTACTGCCCCAACGCTGAGAAATATTGGTGCACAATTAAGAATTGGCTTGA